GTTGGGGCAAATATCCCTTTATGGCCAACCGCTCCCCTGGGAGAAAAAGGTCAAATACTTAGGAGTCACTTTCGACTCGCGTATGTCATTTACTACGCACATTAATAACGTTCGTAATAGAGCCGCGTTCGTCTCCGGCCGGCTACACAATTTAACTAACGCTAAAAGTAAAATGCCCTTAAGGCACAAATTATTATTATATAAGACCTGCGTACGACCTATTATGTCCTACGCATGCATGATCTTCGCCCACACGCACCCTACTCGCTTGTACAAGCTGCAAATAGTACAAAATGAGTTCATCCGCCGTGCAACCGGTGCGCAGTGGTATCAACGCAACGTCGATCTGCACAGCGATTGCAGACTCCCGACGATTCGCGAATATTTTAAAGACCTGACCAAACGGTTCTTCGATAGAGCCGAACATCATCCCAACCCTCTGGTGGTAAGCGCAGCAAATTACCAACCCGACACAAGCGCGAACGTCAACAAGCGTCGCCCGCGAAACGTCCTCTTCGACCCGGTCGAGGAAGGGGACTTAGATACGCTGGACCCACCGCCGGGGGTCCCGCCGGATAACACTACACCCACAGTTAGTGCAACAACAAACACACTAGTTCGCCCTCGCCTCCGAGCACGGCGAGACCAACACAACGCGTACACAAGGTAAACCCGCGTTCCAGGGCGGTTCTCACCGCCTCCAGCCACCGTTTCTCTAAAAACACAGTCGACGGCCATCGGGGTCTCGGTCCGCACCGCAACTTCGATGGCCCTTAGATGACATGTCGTAGTTAAACGCACGCATGAGCACATGCGCGGCCCTACCCACAGCGGAGGGCCCAAACCCGTGGGTTCTGGCTAGCCCATCGGTTCTGCGTCAGATGAAGCTTTAATAGTCTCGGGACTGAAAGCAAAAACATCAGTTAATACAAGATACAAGATACAAGATTATTATTATAATATTTTGGGTACAAACTTTTAGCTGCTATATTTCCTATAATCTTATTTTTTTTTCTCATGTGATAAGGTGGCGAGCAAGCTGGCCGGAATGTTAACCGGATGTTAAGTGGTAACCGACGCCCATGGATATTTGCAACACCCGTAGGGTTGCAACCTTTTAATAAGTTGGGCCCCGGCCATCTCGCTCAACAGAAGTGTCACACTACCACTTCACGCCGGTCTTCTGTGAGGTCGTGGTACTGACTTGCCCATTCGTGCAACAGCGTTCTGTTGCGTGACCCTACCACAATTTTATGATATTTTCTCTGCGCAATGTCGACCATAAATCGTTGTATTAACCTGACACCTATTCGAGGTATCTTCGTTCGTCGCTTTGACCCTATTTTAATGTAAGATATGTTTGAATGAAAACCCATACCCCTTAACACAAGTAGTCATAAAATAGCTCAAACTTGGTTAGTTTCCTGGTGTATATATTTTTTAAATAAAACGGAGCTTCGTTGTAAAGGAAATTCCTTCGAAACATTCGAGTAAATAGCAAGCGCGTAGAATATTTACTTCATGATTTCAATAAAGACTTAATTATTAAATATTATATTATACCATAATTATTATTACAGACTTGTGGATTGTTTTATTTTGAGTATTACTTAAATTAATTAGCAACAAATAGTTTTGGTCTTTTTCATCATAATATTTTGATAAAATTAATGAACATAGAAATAGTCACAGAGAGAAATAATGTAAAAGTTCAATGTACTATTGAGGGTGTTTTCTTGCTAAGCAAAATTTAACTGTGACCATGCGAGAATCTTCGCTATTACATGAAGGTCCGTCCGGGGAAGTACCACGACCTCAGAAGACAAGCGTTAAGTGGAAATATACTTCGGCTCTTCCTCTGGTGAGTGAGATAATGGGAGGTAATGTATTAGCAACTATACGGACATTGCAATTGTCCATGGGCGGCGGTTATTATTTAACATCAGATGAACCGCTATCACCTCGCTTCCCATCTTCTTACATAAAACAAATTAAAACACGTGTTTCTTTTATTTTTATTTAATAAAGTAATAGCAGATGTTAGTTTACTATAACGATTTCTTGCTGAATTCACAACTAGAATTATTCGTGTGGCTATTATACAAGCGAGTGTGTACTATGGTTTTATACGGAATAGGTTCCCACGCCACCTTAAATACGTTCTTACGTTCTGTGACCGCCTGCATAGCTGGTTGCACTGATCTCATTCTTTACGTTACGACGTCACCGAATCGATGTCTGTATACTGCTTTCGGGACTTCGTACAATTAATGAATTAATTTCTGTCAAAAACACAATAGAGCCTCCAGCATAAGGTGTAATTACATCAAAACACGTGTCGCCTAAGGGTTCTCTCGTCTTCGTTGCAAATATCCAGGCATTGGAGAACAATGCCCTATTCTAATCTCAGAGTCCATGACCCACAATTTGGGGTGATGCTTAGTGTCTGTCAATTCGTTGCAGGAGATTTAAGATATCGTTAATGTAGTAATTTAGGGCTGCCGTTCTAACAATGATTTCGTATGTTGAAGGCGAAGTCGCGTTCTAACCGTGTATAGTCTAATTTGCACATTTATTTAGTTCTTCACTGAGCTATCCCAATTAAAGGCATTTGCTTATAGAAAAGCACTCATCAGCCATAAGCTGTTTGTACTAGTCTCTGGCTAAATGTCAAAAAAGTCAATAAGAGAGGGCCACTGTAACAGAATCCAATCGGGGTCCGAATTAGGAACCTCCACTCCAACAGGATATTTAACATCGAAGTAAAACGATATACCGCCTGGGACTCCCTTTTTGAAGAAATCGAGCTAAATGCCTACTGGCAGTTAGCTTGATTCGCCCGTTATCTGATACTTACTTTTAGAAGCCCCACGTGTTCATATATATCGCCGTTAAGACTCAACGGCACTATATTAACCTTTGATTACTTTATTTAAACGCCGAACAAAGGGTTTCCGCTACCACTCGAAGGTGACTATATAATTTTATCGGGAGTGCAGAGAATAGAACTAAATATAAAATTAATAATAAATTTTAAGAGCAAGGTGATATTTCTCCTTACAAATATACATCGTTAAATGTATATTGTAAAGTATTTTGTAAGTTAAAAGTACGCACACTGAATGGCACTAAAATGAAATCAATCAAATTATAGCTACAATTTTTCGGGGTTAACAGCTATTCTCGAAAATTCTATTTCCGAAACCAATCGCTGAAGCTGTTGGGTGCGCTTTTTAGGATGGTTATACAGCCTCTAAGTTTTTACCGTACCAAGCAGTACAGTGTTATACACGAAAGTGGGTCCTTAGGAATGTTAATGTAACCCATGTAGTTTGTAGAGCAAGGGAAAGTACATAATTATACTAGCGAAAATGCTCTCCTTAAAGGGGTGCCTCGTGAAGAGTGTGCCCTCTCGTCTATGACAAAAAGAGCGATTCAACAATAAGATTTCAACAATAATAATAACGATGTGGACAAGTCTGTCACCCGTAGTAAGTGCTTATAGCTTTTACAGCAAGCTGTGATAGGACTTTTTTGAATGAATATGCGACATCAAAAAAGAGCGCACCCATGCATATAAGTAGGGACTGGTTAGGGCCAGTCACTACAATAATACTCTATGAGACATTGGAATAGTTGTAGTTGGGAAAGAATACTTCGAACAGAAAGTTCAAAGTTTTCTAGTGGAGAAGCTTGAGAGAAGCCCATCGAAAATTCCAGCCAGTAAGAAGAGCTAAAAGCTGAGACCGTTTTAGAGCACTATTGTGTATGTGTGTGTCCTCAGGTGAAACGACATATGTTAATATCCTTTCATTATGTCTTTATCATCTTCTGGAGTCAGGTCACGCTATTATGAGATTTTCATCTTGCATATAGAGACTTGCACATAAAATTAATAATAAATGTCAAGAATAAAGGCAACATCTCTCGTTTCAAATATTCTTCGTTAATTGTTATCTGTTTCATACTGTAAACTATGCACACGAGATGGCGTCAAGTTTTGCAAAATGCTATAAAGATAGTGGATAGATAGCGAGGTTTGGGCCCTATGTTATCATCGGTGGCTCAGTTGGCAAAGACTGGGTGCGCTACCCGGAAGATGGAGGCTCGAATCCCGCAGTGCCTAAAGTTTTTTTCCATTTATCTACAACAATTCACTTTTTAGTAGACCATACTGTCACCATCACGATAACACTATCCCACCCATCTGAGTTAATTAGAACAGAAAGTGGGGAAAATTACTCTTTTCTACGAACCGATCGAATTCGAATGTCGAAATTAATAAATATATCTTTTGACACCAACATGGCATTCCGTACTCACATAATTTTACTTTATGTGAATATGTAAATCGAATATTGCTTTATTTTGTTCGTTTCAGACCAACTTTTACAATCTCACTAACTTTTCAGGTAAAATGACCTTAAGACAAGCTCTTGCTATACAAAGCGAACGATTCATGTTCTACGCTCATATGCATCATGTGCTCCCAAAACACACCTGAAGAATCTTCAGGTAATTTAAAACAAATCAATATTGCATCCGATGCTAGGTGGTATCAATCCATTACAACTGCATATCACATTTTGCATCAAATATTATTGGTAATTTAGGCTACATTCAGTGATTCAAAGTTAATTAAGGACTTTTTATTTGATTAAATTTTTAACCTTTAGCTTAACATTCTTACTCTAAAAGATAAAAATTCAAAGTTATTAAAAGTAATTCGGATTCTAAATTGAAATAAAGTAATAATTGGAAATTTATTTATTAACTATATGAAATTATGTCTTGTTTCTTCCATATGTAGTGTGAAATAGTAATAAAGTGTGTTAATCAGCCACCTGAACAATCAGTCACAAGGCTGATAATATATACGAATGAGGTCTAATCAATTAAACAGTATCGTTCGATAGCTCTAACGTGCAATAACCCTTCAATGTTTCGTGAGGATCGGTGACATACAACCATTTCATGTAAGTGATAAGCGAAAAAACAAAATGGAGTCGAACGTAACGGAAAAAAGCGAGGATAAATTAAATAAGAAACGGAACAAACCGAACATAATATCGAGACTCTTCATTTGTTGGGTGGTACCTGTTATTTACAGAGGAAATGTTAGAGACGTAGAAGAAACCGACTTGATAGTTCCGACAAAAAAATATGACTCGGATCGTCTTGGCGATAAGCTTGAAAGGTAAGCAAGTCTTTTGTCATAACATGATAGTAGTTCATTTTGTTTTCTAAAATTTATTTTAAAATTAAAGCAATTACTATATAGAAATATTTACAGTTACATTTAGTCGACGTCGAAATAGTTTTCGACAATTTACAAAAGTTGTATAAGATTGTATTTACTGAATATGTTTGAAAGTAGATATTGCAAACATTACGATTCCACATTTTATGTTTTTGCTTTGTTCATGATTTTGTTAATTGGGGTACATAAACATAAAACTGTTGACTAATGTGTGTTATATCTAATTCGTACTTTTATTATTCGTATCATTATAACGTATAAGAAGATTGAAAACATAGTCAATAAATATTCTGAACTTTCAAAAATTTGCATTGTCGCGCACAGGCTTTTGGAGCATGGCAATTATTGCTGTTACGATTCATTAGTTGACCATCCGAATGGCGTAGTGGGTAGTGTACCTGCCCCCTGCGCTCGAGGGTGTGGGCTCGATCCATACTACTGAGAAAATACTGTGTGATGAAAATAGTCTTTTTCTAGTGTCTGAGCATTTATATATATATATATATTTAGTTAAAAAAGAAAAGTATGTTTAAGTATGTTTATCAGTTATCTAGTACCCATAGTACAAGCGTTGCTTAGTTTGAGACTACGGAACGTTGTGTAAAAATGTGTTCTAAATATTTGTTTACTGTTCTTGTCCTGTTTGTATTGTTTGTTTTGTTCTGTTTGTCTTACTGTTCTTTTCTTGCGTGTTCTTTTCTTCATTTCTTATTGTTATCGAAATAAAAATTACAATTAACCTCGTTAAGGAAAATTCATCTTTTTCCTCGTTTTTAAGTCAGTAAAAGAAAAAAATACAAAATTCATATGTTAATTACGATAGGTCTGAAATATTATTTAAAGAAATAACAGAATCGGACTAATTTTATATTAAAATTTTCTAAAAATTGATATCATGGCTTTACGGAATGTTTTGAATTGTATTTGCAACAATTTCGCGTGTTTTATATAAAACGTAAATGTTCATTGTAAAAAACTGCACCTTTTTAACCTTTAGCGTATACTATGGAAGAGAAGGCATTTAACGAAAGTATAGATTCGAATTATAGGTATTAATATTATCGCCGTACAACAGATATTTTGTATGTAATTATTTTATCTTGACTCTATCGTAATAAAGCAATTTAGTTTTTATGCGCGATTTTCCAACATTTTTGCATTTCCTTTCGCGATCTTGCTATATTAACTTAACATTTCTTTGTAGGATAAAGATATTAAAATGTTTTATTATATATCTTTAGTATTTGTATACTCTTAATTGAATGTTTTAAAACAGAAAAAATAAACTTAATTTAAAAATCTGTATATGATATTATTTATAAATATTTAAACATGTGTAGGTACCTAAAAATCACAAAATTTTACAGTAACTGTAAAAATGTAGTATAGTTTGTTGTGTTATTAAATAAGTATATTAGGGACTGATAAATTCAAACAACATCTTGTCATAATAATAATCTACTATTTATGACTAACCTCGAATTAATCTATAAAATTTACGTATGCGAAGATAATAAACATTTATCAAAAAATGAGTAATCATTTCATTACTCATTTTTGAAAGTTGTAAAAATAATTATAAATGCTAAATATATCATTATTATTGACACTAAAATAAAATAAACACTTGATTATTTACATTACCGATTAACTTTGATACTCGGGCAGGCTCGTCTGGGCAAGATTCACGGCCCCACTGCAGGCCATCGTGATTTGACAACAAAATGTAATTATGATTCTTTGGTGAGACTTGTAATTTCATTTAGGTAATAAAAGTGATTGAGTCGTTATAACAGCGTTGTTTCTATATACAGCGTTATAACGTTCATAAAGGTGTTTATATTTGAACTACTGTAGCAAAAAAAATATCTCATATCATTGCGCAGTTCTTATAAGTTGCTATTGCATATTCACGCTTTTGCGTATATAACATGTCAATCAGTATTTTAGCCAAGTATAATATTAAAAGCCGCTACAGGATAATAATCCGCTACAGGAAACAGTCAACGATGAACGACGTCTTTCCTCAACGCTCTGTCTTCTGGATATAGAGGCGTCCCCTAAGGGAGGCAAAACTCCAGATATCGACTTTATAACTAATGCTAATGCGAAATGCTATAAGATGATATCACCATTAATGTTGAGATACTAAAACCTCTGTTAGAGAATATCTGAGTCGAAGAAGATTTCCGAGATGGCTAGAATAAGAATCTCTTGATTAGTGTACAAAAAAGGCAATTTAGTCAGTGCAATAGTTGGAGAGGAATTACTTAGCTTACTGTACCACCAAATCCTGTGCAAGCTGCGGATAGACAGGTTATCAAGGGCTAACCTGTCCATCAGCTGTAACCATTGCTGAGAAAAGAACAGGTTGGTTTTAGAGAAAATCGTTCGTGCTTTGACCATATTAGCACACTTTGAATAATTGTGGAGGAAACATCAAAGTGGCAACGCAAAGTTTACCTTGATACCTTAACATACCTTCGTGAAATTTAAAAAGGTTTCTATACCGTTCATTGGTCCAGAATCTGGTCGCGGCTAGATGAGTTTAGAGTTCTACCTAAGATCAGGGACACCACAGGAAACTCGTGCAAAGTACAACTCGATGGTCTAATCTCCAAGGACATTACTGTTCATGTGGGGGTCAGACAGGGTTATCTTCTTTCTTATAGTACTAAATGGCACTATGCATCGAAAAACAAGGGTAAGCGGTGTCGTACGAAGTGATCGACGTGCAAGCCACTGGACGATCTACATGGTGAAGCATCCCTCGATGGCTTCAAAACAACATACGGAAGATCCAGGAAATGCGTACTGAAGGAGGGATTTCCTTACCACTGTTAGTAGGTTTGGAACCTATAGAACATGTTAACAAGTTCACTTACCGCGGTAGTGTCGTGTCGGAAACTGGAGGGACTGAAGAGGATATCGCTATAGCTGTATATGTATATTTTAAAAAAAGCCTAATAAATAATATATACATTGCTAAATTTACACTTAATTGTGTACATATAACAGTTTATAACATTTTAAAATTTTATGAATTTTTTCCTTCTTAAAATTTCACTAAAATCGTTTTAAGTTTATTAATTTATTTATTTGCGAAGTTATTCACTATAACGCGGACAGTAATATTATTTCAATTACTTCGTTATTATAGACTGATTATTCCAGATAAAAACGCAAAGGTGAGAAAAGCGATTATCAAAATCATTACTGCTCCAAAAGGCTGTGTGTTACAATATTTAAATGAAAATGCATAAACAGCACTTAAAATCTTTTTTGGTCAGGGTCGGTGGAAATAAACTTACATGTAGGTGTAAAAATGGTAGGTTTTCGTAATAAAAGCTGAAGTTTACTTTTGATATTCTTTTACATTGACATTGTATTGAATTAAATGTACTAAATTTATGTTAACAATATATTAAGTTTTACGCTTGTATTATCTTAATATTAGATACTGGTTGGAAGAATTACAAAATGCTGCGCAAACTAACAGAAAACCATCTCTATGGAGAGCATTAGTCCGTATGTTTTGGTTAGCTTACGTTCCAGGAGCATTTCTATTGCTTGTAAATACTGCCACAAGGTACGTGTATAAGGCTTAATTACGTATTTCACAGTTAGTAACAATACATTTGTTTATTTATTATACATAATATACTGCTAACCAGTAAAAATAAATATTTTTGTTCCATTAGTAACTAGTTTTAACTTTTTATTGCACAGAACTATCCAGCCTTTACTATTTATTGAACTGTTATCTTACTGGTCTGTGGATTCTACGCTTACTGCTCAAGAGGCCGGTTATTATGCTATTGCAATGTTGGGTCTTAATTTCCTCGGCGCCATCTGTCAGCATCATAACTCACTATTCGTAAACAGCTTCAGTTTGAAGGTCAAAGTTGGAGTGTCATCACTTATATACAGAAAGGTACTTTTGTTCCATAGAAAGTTTTACTCGTTTAGTAATATGACAAAACTATAAGCACTATGATTTCAATGTTATTTTCTACCGTGTTGATGCACTGTTAGTAGTTCGTTTACAATGCACCGTATTGATGATATCGTTTTATCTCTGACGTAGTAGACGATGTATACTCATACCATTAAATATTCCTATTAAAAGGAAAATAATACATTGAAGAAAATAATGTGTGGAAATGACTTGCTTTGCACTTGCAATTCCCGTGGCTGCTGCTGATTTTATACTTTTTAAAATTTGTATATATCATTTACAAAAAGGGGGACAAAATCGTAGTTTCTTACCTTCTTTGGTCAGATTTAAATTTCTAAGCCGGTGGTAGTCTTTTGACATTCAGGCTTGTTTTGAACCCATATTGAATAAAGAAATTTTGATTTTGACTTAGTTCCCGTGGGTTTAAGTCTTATACTTACGTACTACGAGTATATTGTAAGAAGATAAAAAATGAAAGCATAAAATTATTAAAGCAAATATATTTTAATTAAATAAAAGCTCAATCGTTATTACTGAATACTGCATTATTTATTTATTTCATAATAATAATTTTGCCTTAAAAGTATTATTTTTATGGAATTATATTAAATGAAATTTATTCCTGTCCAGGTCCTTCGTATGAGTCAAGCATCAATAGGTGATGTTGCAACCGGAAAACTGGTGAACCTTTTATCGAATGATGTTGCCAGATTTGACTTCGCATTTATGTTTCTTCATTACTTTTGGCTGGTTCCTGTGCAGCTGTGTGTCGTATTGGTATTACTATATTATACAGCTGGATTTGCACCCTTCGTAGGCTTTTTTGGTGTCTTTGTCCTCGTCGTACCTGTTCAAGGTAAAGCTAAATCTGAACAAATAACTACTACTTGATTATCAATATGTAACTAAATGAATAATAATATTTACCGTGTTTTAGCCGGCTTAACGAAACTGACGGCAATTATAAGACGTGAAACAGCTCAGCGAACTGATAGGAGAATCAAATTAATGAATGAATTAATAAGTGGAATGCAGGTATGGTTTCAGGATAACGCACACAGTTGCCTTTTTTACCTCTTTACCATATCGGGGTATTTGTCACGGATGTGTAGTTTGTTCCCGCAATAAGAAATTTCGTCAGAAAGAAAATTTTTCATCCACAGGTAATTAAAATGTACGCATGGGAGAAACCATTCCAGATTATTGTCAGAGTTGCTAGATCCAATGAATTACAATATCTGCGAAAATCTATATTCATCCGCAGTATTTTTGTGGGTTTTATGTTGTTCACGGAAAGAACTACATTATTTATCACATCACTTACGATTGTACTAACCGGATCTGTACTCAATGCTACAACGGTAAATATATAGATCTAAATACATATATTTAAATACGTTTTTTTTATGTGAGAAAGTGGCATACGAGCTGGCGGTTCACCTGATGTTAAGTGATAACCGCCTGCCTTTTCAACGCCCATAGGGTTGCAGATGCGTTGCCACCTCTCAATAATGTGGGTCCCGGCTACCTCACTCACCAGATGAAACGCAGAAGTGCAACACTTCTACTTTACGCCGGTCTTCTGTGAGGTCGTGGTACTAACCCGGACGGACCTGCCCATTCGTGCAACAACGAACACTGTAGCGTGGTCCCAGCACCTTTAAACGTGCTTATATTACAAAATATTTCAAAGATGTGTGAAGTTCACTAATCCGCAGTGGGGTTATGAGGTGGACTATGTCCTCATACCCTATGTACAGTGGATCTACACAGGAAATCTATTCATGTTGATATATTTATAGTCTTTCTAAATTCTAAAAACGAAGTTCAAAATACTCCTACGTTTTTTAAATCATTTCAATTAGTAAATTAATTTTGTGAGAAAACTTTATTTGTACTTCTCCCTGTATTCATGTAAATTATATCGTACCTATAGTTGAAAATATTGATAAATCTATAATACTACAAACTAAAGGCGATTTTTTATTAATTCTTTTGTTCATCCATTTTTGGTAATTCTTAGAAAAAGGAAAAATTTTGTCAAATTTAACCATAAACTTAAGTATATTAAATAAACCACAGACCCATTAAAATGGTTGTATAACATAGTATTTGAATTGATTCGTTTTCAAACCTTACTTCGTAAGTCAAACCACTTTATCTTCGCTCTTAACTTCAATGGTGACCTCTTAGATTTTTATTATTTACATGTCCTTAATTTTATTTACAATTTTTCAGATATACCCGATTCAACAGTTTCTTGCAATTGTGCAAATGAACTTAACTTTTATACTCCCAATAGCTATCGCTAGTTTAACGGAGCTGTTTGTGGCTCTGGAACGTATCCAAGGAGTTTTAATGATGGGTAAGTAATGATAGAGTAACATTCTACTAGAGCTCACCTATTATTTATCCTATCTATATTTTGATTTTTTTATTAGAAAAGTTGCCAAGTGGGCAGGTGGTTCACCTGATGTTAAGTGAATAGCACCGCCCATAGACATCTGCTGCACCCGAGGGTTTGCAGATGCGTTTACAACCTTTTGAAAATTGGGCTCCGGTTACCTCACCCACCAGACGAAACGCGAAAGTATTATACTTCCACTTTACGCCGGTCTTCTGCGAGGTCGTGGTACTTACTCGGACGAGCCTGCCCATTCGAGCAACAGCCGAGGCTGCTGCTTGGCCTTACCACAGTTAAGTTTGGTCCTACAGTAGTTATCATAATTGGTTAATATTTTGTTATAAGTAACTAATATAGAATTAGTTACGATGGTACTGGCGATAAGAACTGCGTCGTTGTAATTGGCAATGCCTTACATCTTATCGTTGTTCGCTACTTGCGGTCTCGCCGTCAATGAGTCATAGCTACCTGTTACTTATTGTTTACGTTTATGTAACAAAATGAGTTAGTTTAATACATTTTTATCATTTCTTTCTATCTTCTATCACGATAATTTTGAAGATTAGAAAATGTAATCTTTAACTTAGATTTCAAGAAATTAAAAGAGGTGACAACATAAATTAATATAATTAAATGAAACGTGACATTGATCGAGATAGCCTCCCTACTATGACACAGATAGATTAATAACAATAATTTATAGCCTGATGACTCAGTTCTCAATCCGGCGATATAGTATTTAATCTATAGGTACATGTAATAAAAATGTAACGGAATGTTGTCTGTTCATGAAAGATATTTAAAAAAAGCTATTATTGGGGGCCTTTATCAACGCCCTAGAACCGAAAATAATTAAATATTTTTGCCTGCTTTTCTGTTTGTTTGTGCGTGCTTATCTCAGAAACGGCTTAACCGATTGGGGTACAACTTTCACTAATGCGTTATCATAAGCTTCACTTAACATTTAGCGTTAGTTTCATTTAAATCGGTTCATAAATAGAAAAGTTATCTTATCCTTTAAAAATATCCGAAAAATCGATCTAACTAGGTTTCATTTTTAGAAAATGTTCTTTTATCCCTGTTTTCAGGGAATGAAAAATATCATTCGAATACGACGGTAAATTTCACCGAAAATAAATGTTATAATAGCTCGGTCGGTAATCGGGCGGCCCCAAAACAGACGGCCGTGGTTCGTATCACGATCATTTACACACTTATTTTTTTACTTTTTTTTTCGATTCTTCGATCATTGCTATCTTTATTTTTTATTTTTGTCGATTTGTTATTTTGTTATTTTTTTCCCTTTTTTTTAAATTCTTTCTTTTGTGAAAAACACCAGTTCATATTTTCTTATTATTACGTCGGTAAGATCGAAAAATTATTATGCATATTTCATTTCTCAGTAATTTGTATCTAAATGTTATTTCCAAAATACATGATTTACCAAAAAAAACCAAGCAAAACTCCGTCCTCCAGGTACTATCTATTTATGAACCGAATATTTGGGCGATAAAATGCTATATAATAGCTGCAGTTGAATTTAACTGTAGTTAACTTTATATTTTTATGGTCTGTAAAATGATGATGATTTTAATTTTCTATAAAGTAAAAAAAAAACGGCCAAGTTCAGGTCGGACTCGCACGAAGGGTTCCGTAGGTACTTTTTGGGTACGACATAGAATGTAATGCTGCATTACATTTTATGTCATTAAGGCAGAGCCGCGAGCTAAAAGCTAGTTTATTATGATTTTTTTATTGTACTATCATTATCTTTTCACATTGTTCTGATATATTTTTTTTATTCGACTTTTTTAACAGAGGAGCGTGATGACTTAAAGGTTTTAAAATATGTAAATAACGAGAGTTTAAATGCTATAACTTTTAACGGTAAACCAACACATAACGGCAGCGAATATATTGTTGCAAAAAAATATTCAGCGAAGGAAATTAGTGGACCAAGGCTTTCAGCTGGTAAGTGGGGGATCGTAAATTTCTTTTATTTTATAAAATAAGTATTTGTAATATATTAAACTATCAAAATTAGTTTAATTCAATAATATTTATTTGATACCGAGTTCACCGTCAGATTACAGGCAAGCGACTATTGTTTTTTTTGAATAAACTGAATTTGGAATATTATGGTATTCGCAAATACGCCATTTACTTTGTTTCGATTTGCGATATGTGGTAGAGAAACATCTCAAATTGTTTTGTTTACGGATGACACTTCATTATTTTTTAAGGTTAATAGGAAAGATGATGATACAATAGAGCAACTATTTAAAATTCTAAATGTTCAACACCTAAATGTATCAGATTTACTCTATCTAAGTGGTCTCACAAACCAGGAATCTGTATTGATGAAGATTCACCAGCATTTCATTCATCATATTTTTCATGTAGATAAATTAGCTAAGAAGTTGAGCGCTGCTGCCTTTGTAATACGTAAAATCAAGCAGGCACAAACGAGGCAATAGCTAACTTAGTTTATTATGCTTATTCTTCACAGCATTATGTGGTATGGTTGTTTAGACGCCATATTTGTATTGCAAAATCAAGTCTATGGCTTGGGTCTTTGTGAGTCCTTACGGCATCTTTTTACGCAAATAAACGTTTTAACGCTCCTATCGCTATATATACTCGAAAACGAAATAATATCCACCCTTTTTATAAAAAAATAAACCATATGGAAATCGTTATAGAATAATATATTATCTTGGCATATTCTAGATTTAGTACCCAGACCCCTTGCTACCATATCTAATGAATATGCAGTAGAGTTGAATGGTGTTAGTGCTTCATGGACCAATTCTAAAGACAAAATGACCTTAAAAAACATATCAATTCGACTACGTAAAGGAAAATTGTGCGCTATTATTGGATCTGTTGGTAGTGGGAAGGTAAGAATTGTTTTTTTTGCTAACAGATAGAGTTATTAAATTTATTTACTTATTTATTTTTTTTATGCGAAAAGTTGTCAAATGAGCACAAAGTTCACCTGATGTTAAGTGAATGCCGCCGCCCATGGACATCTGCCACACCCGAGGATTACAGATGCATTGACAACCTTTTGAAAATTGGGCTCCGGCTACCTCACTCACCAGACGAAACGCGAAAGTATTTGTCATACTTCCACTTTACGCTGGTCTTCTGTGAGGTCGTGGTACTTACCCGGGCGGGCCTGCCCATTTGTGCAACAACCGAGGCTGCTGCGTGGCCCTAACACCGTAGGGCCACTCAGCAGCCGCGTATAAAATTTGTTTTAGACGAGTACTGCTCACTTATACATTTTAGCATTTAACAGTTATAATATATAATCTTTTCGTTTTTATTCTATATTATTATTTTATTCTGTATTTTTCTCCTTTACTTTTTATTTTATTTTATAATTATGTTAAACCAACCAACTGCGTTTGCTTATATATTTCTTACACATTTCTTTTACCGAAATTGTTCCACAGAATTACGGATATATCTCTATTTTTTGTTCTGTGGAGACCATTTTTGAAATAATCAACCTGCACAAGTTTCTTATTACATTTACACTACAGTTTCTTATCTCGTAATATTGTTTATTATTAATTTCGTGGATATTTATTTATTTTATTATCTGGTTGGGTTTATAATATATAAAAATAAACATAGGTACATATTATCTATAATAAATAATAAGGACCCAATTAGGTTTTATTATTTTGCCTACATTTTCTATTTTATTTTCAGACTTACCTTTTTGTAATTTTTTTAAACGATGTGTTTTAATCTCAGTTTAAAGCCGTGATAGCTCAGTGTCCGGGCGCTCGCCTTTAATTCAATATATACTCGAGCAACCTGAGTTCGATTCCCGGTGCCGGCACCAATGAACTTTTTAACTTTAAGTGCTGACTTATCACGTGCTCCGCGGTGAAGGAAAACATCGTGATAAAACCTGCATATTTTCGAAATAACAACAAAAAAAATGTATTTCGAAGATATGTGAAGTCCGCCAATCCGCAGTGGGGCCGCGTGGTGGACTATGCCCTGATACCCTCTGTATAGAGGAGGCCTTTGCCCAGCAGTGGGACATGTATAGGCTGTTACTATGTTTTAATCTTGATTTTTCAATTTATTATGTATATTTCATTTATTGAGATCATGGTTGTTTTTTTTTTTAAAAAATAAAAATGATTTCTATGTCTATTATGGTCACTATTACTAAGCTTTTGAAGTTGGGATGAATGATGTTATGTCTTCAGTCCAACGTGACTTCTATCTAATTTATATCCAACGGTAGTTGCATGATCTAAAATAATAAATGAAAAGGGAATGAGAATCTGTTAAATCCTAAATGGATTAAACAGACGAAATAAGGCTTCTCGTTTAATAAACGTTATTCGTTTAGTTTGAAAATCTAAACGTAAAAATAATTCTTAAACGACTTTTTTCAGTATTACAATGTTACCGTGGTTCACAAAGTTTTATATTTTTAAAGTAATCTGTTAAATTCTTATCATTGCATTTGTTGAGTAAGATCCCAGGGACGTCACGTATTTTCGGACAAACGAAACGTGTATGATTAGTTTTTATTATGTACTAAGAACGGTTGCCTACCTGCTAGCTTGGTCAGTGGGCCAACCAGATATGAGATAATCAAGGAAAATAAAAACTTATCTCTTACTTACTACTTACTTATCTCACGTAAATTCTCCTACCTAAATTTTAGGTATATATATATATATAATAGTAGTTAACGATATAATTATAGATTATATCGTTAACTACTTTTATTAATGAAAAACAAACCCAACTTCAAATATCTCGCTCCGTATTCATTTTATAATTAATTTTTGGAAGTTCCCTAAATATCTCCGGAGCCCAAGATCTAATACCAATGAAATTAGTATGGGACAACATGGGAAGCACCAGCTTTCAAGTAAAAAAAGAATCAACAAAATTGATCCACTCAGTCGAAAGTAGAAATGTTCTCAGAACTTTTGACTGAAGTTAAAAAAATACAATCGAATTAAATATTTAGGACACATAAATATTTAAATATTTTAGGACACATTCCTTTTTCACAACGTTCTCTAGTCCCAAACTAAGCAATGCTTGTACTATGGGTACTGTAGGGTTCGGGATATATATATATATATAAACACCCAGACACTAGAAAAACACTATGCTCCTCACACAATATTTTTCCAGTAGTGGGGATCGAACCCACACCCTCTGGCGCAGAAGCAGGTACACTACCGACTACGCCATTCGGGAGAACCTCCTCCCTTTGAAGTCGGTTCAAAGTAAGTCGTCAATACTCCCAGACACCTCGTCGGTCGTATTGATTTGCAGACGCTTTAAAGATATCAAAATAATTGCTTCACGCTGTCACAAATTTCGTATTTTGTTTAACTATTAATAATTAATTGATATACCTAAACTGTAAAGAGAGAGAGAGAGAGAGAGAGGTTAATGCAATAATGCTCATATATATCTCACTCACTCTCATGCTCATGAAGTGGCATCTCATGCAATGGCACTTCCACGGAGACGTTGAAATTGAGTTTAGGGAATGATAGGCACCTTGGATCCGTCTGTCGTCTTGTCTTGCGAACAGACCTATATAATAATACAATACAAAGAGTGTCAAAATCTACGTGAAGTTGAGTAATTATTTTGATACCTTTAAAGCGCCATTTTACACCTTTTTGGGTCGTTAACAAACCACACAAACAAAAACGGCCGATGGAAAGTGTCTAGGAGTATTGAAGACTTATTTCTGACGATATTGTTTCAAATATACTTAAAAATCAGCTTGGTGACTATACGTGAGGAACAAATACTATTTTTATGTACCTTGTTTACCTGATACGTGGAAAGCAACTGGCCCGCTGACCAAGCTTGCAGCAACTCAATCATACACATTTCGTTCGTCACAAAACACGTCTGGGATCTTGGACTATAAGAATCATTTATTCCTAGATAATATAAATAAAGCAATGTAATTTTTCTTCTTCTATTTTAGTCATCCCTTTTACAAGTTTTATTAAAAGAGTTTGCAATTTCTGAGGGTAGTTTTAATGTAAATGGAAGATTATCTTACGCTTGTCAAGAGTCATGGTTGTTCCCGGCGTCAGTTCGTGACAATATTCTGTTTGGTCTACCTTACGAAGCTGAAAAGTATAAGGAGGTAATTTTTTAAATCATTACTATATTATATCCTCGGTGGTAACAATTCTGAAGATCACGTATTTCCTTCAAGGTATGCAGAGTGTGTTCCCTTCTACCGGACTTCAAACAATTTCCGTTTGGAGACCAATCTTTAGTTGGGGAGCGTGGTGTATCTCTATCTGGGGGACAAAGAGCAAGGATCAATTTAGCAAGATCTGTCTATAGAGAAGTAAGTGCTAATTTTATTGCTAAACTACGTGCAAATTGAATAGTGTGTGGATCCCATCTAGGTAGAAGGATGATGCGGGGCAAGACCTCTCACTGCCTGCCGTGTTTCTTGCTATGGTTGACAGCGAGAGAGTGTGGGTTGCTTTCCTCGCATACTGCGAGGAGGAGAAAGGTGCAGGTTGACGTGCGCACGCCACCTGCACCTGCCGCGACAGACCGCCCGTAGGCATGGGGCGGTCTGTCGCTCAATATAGGGCTCATAAGGAGTGCTGTGTCAATTGCACCGGCACAGCACCATTTAGAAGAGGAGGCCCAAAAAAGCCATAGTCGCGCTGGGTTCACGAAAGATTACGTAGACGCAAATCCCGTGTCCACGGCCGATGCGACAGAGACAGGTGAAACGTGAATTTTTAGTTGGTGCCCGTTTCTACCTGATACTCCCACATACCCCTGCCACTTCTCCTATCCAGTGACAGGGGATCTATAAAGGATTTTTCCCACAAAAAAAAGTTGACAGATAATTTCATCTAATTTTCTCATAATTCATTATATTGAGCTTATGATCCGATTGGAGTCTAAAGTCACATAAATATGAGGAGATGTTAGTTAAATAATGATTCATTTCTCTAATTGTGGCCGTAAATATTTGGTTAATTGCTAACGAGTACAAAGCAGTTTTAAAACCTAGGATAAATTTTTTATTTATTTTAAAACTTATTATTATTTGCCGTAACTACTCTTATTTACTTTTATAGTGATTTGACCCATTTTATCACGCCTGTACATGTACCAGTTCTGTATACAGTTATGGCCAATATCTGATAATTCCAAAACATTGTTGTTGTTTGAATGAGGGTAAAAAATTTTACTTTTTATTTTCAGGCGGACATTTATTTGTTGGACGATCCGTTATCAGCTGTGGACGCAAACGTTGGTCGCCAGTTGTTTGAACGATGCATTAATGGATACTTGCATGAAAAGACACGCATCTTAGTAACGCACCAAATTCACTTCCTCAAAGCTGCCGATTACCTTGTTGTTCTGAACGAGGTTTATTTTATACATTAATTTCTTATTTTTACGCGAATGTTATACATTGTGACATGAAACTATTTTACAGTTTATATCGCGTGTACAACTCAGTCTGTCCCGTGACCATGAACGCTGTAAAGGGTTCGAAATTCCAGGAATTTAAAAATCAAATTAAACGCGATAAAATCCGTAAAATAGTTTCATTTCGCGAGTTTTATTTTAATTTATGATTTAACGTTTTTGATGATGTAGAAACTCACTATAACTAACTTATACAGGGCTCTATTGAGACTATGGGTACATATGATGAACTAGTAAAATCTGAGAAATCATTTTCTTTGTTAATATCCCAATTAAGTGAATCAAGTGACGACAAAGATGGAACTGGAAAGGTATATTTGTTATTAATTAAACTTTTATTATTATCTTTTGAAACATGCTATTCTAATTCAATAAAATAAATTATTGATTCTACTAATAAATAGGTTAAAAGACCGTCAGTAAATCGGGGAGTTTCTAGAATTTCTGTCAAAAGTGAGGAGGGTGACGATGACGAAAAGATACAAACCATGGAAGCAGAAGAAAGAGCCAAAGGCACTTTGAAATGGAATGTCATTACAAGCTACGTCAGTTCAGTTAACTCTGTATGGGCCGTAGCTCTTGCCTTATTTGCACTTTTGTTAACACAAGCCTCAGCTACTGCGGCCGACTACTGGTTAAGTTTTTGGTATGAAAATTTAAACATTTTATTTTTATTCATTCATACAGCATCACGTTTTAAAATTTTGTATTTTTAAATACCATAGATGCATAATTAAAAAGAATTTAAGATGGTGGATTGAAAAGTACGCGGACTCGGAAATAAAAATTTATTACATATTAACTTTACTATTGTGATACGCACTGATTGTATAAAATTAAGAAAATTGAACTAAATGCGACCATCAAATTCTTGTTTCCGGGTTGAGTCTGCTCCTTCATAATATAAGAGTGAGAATGAATATATAATATGAAATGAGTAATAAGAGTGAGCGAATATTCAAAAAGAACCTCACTCCGGCCAACCTACGACGTCTACGAGTGAAGTAAACATAGATAAAGTTTGTGATATAATATTGGCATCCTGTATACAAGGTGGCTTTTCTAAAGGTGCCCAAATTCACACAAAAGATTCAGACTCGGTAGTATAATCGTTTATTGAAATTTAATAACTAACACGCACACAAGTTCGTTTAAAAAAAATCAATATGTTTAAGTAAAATTCGGTTTCGGTTTCGGTTGTAACTCAAGGCCGAAACTTCGGTTTTAGCAGAAAAACGTATTGCAGTCAGACACTAATTGCAACAGAAACTTTCTTTTCAGGGTTCTGTACCCAAAGGGTAAAACGGGACCCTATAATTAAGACTCCGCTGCCTGTCTGTCTGTCTGTCTATCACCAGGTCGTATCTCATGAACCATGATATATAGTTTAAATTTACACAGATGATGTATTTTTGTTGCCGCTATAACAACAACTACTAAAAAACAGAATAAAAAAATTAAGTGGGGCTTCCATATATCAGACATGATTTTTTGCCGTTTTTATAGATAATGGTAACGGTTTTTTCTTTTATCATGAAAAAAAGAAAGAGGCAAGAGGCAGATCTCCTGAGAGAGTTTAGCCAGTGCGACGCAAAAAATCGTGTTTTTTCCCTCTATGCTGTAACTTCTTTATTTCTGTTTTTGATAGTGACTAATACAATACATGCTATCTGCTTCAAGTTTGATTCAATGGTTAAGTAAAAATAATTGGAGATCGAAGAGGTGATATTATAACGCATTAAGTGGTGATATTATGTTATGATTATGGTGATTTATATTAGGCGGGTAAAGAAACCTCTTAAACCTCTTAAAATGAAGGCCTCGCAGACGCATGGAGTAAACGGCGGGGGCCGTCCGGTTGGTTTTAGTGATTTTCCAGTGTCGGTAGTATGAGCCCCTTCACGTTCGATTTCCGAACTCTACGATAAAAACCTATTTACAACACTGTAGTTTATTTTGTCGTCTAATCAGAAATGTTTATCCAATTAATGAGTTCTGTTAAATATTTAACAGGCATCCAAGGAAACAAAACGAATAATGACATATTGTGTGCAATGCTTATTAATCGATGTATTTTCCATGTTTCAATGAAAATAACTTTTTTTTAAAATAAACATTCGTTGTCTCTAAATTATTTAGTGATTTTAAAATAGTTCTACGGGTAATATTTCCTTAGGGAAAGTTATTCAGTTTCATGGGAAGAATCACCTCCTGAAGTTTCGCCGATTAATTTAAGGTCAACCCATATAAAATTTCTTTAATTAATGTTCTAAATACTTCAATTAAAAGTTATTTCTTCGTTACTACAAAAAAAGTTTGATTATCGATAACTGCGTTTTAAGTCTTATTCTCCACACTAGTTATCACTCAAACAGCACTATCATTAGTTTCATTGCGCGATACAATATATATCTAATTTTTTTCGTACTTTCTCTTAATTCATTTGTCATTATTGCGGGCGATGCATCCTTAAGTAAGAGTAAGAGGTGATCTACAAGTCACAGTAAGTTTGAAGGTCATTTCATATTTTTTGAACGACTTCTGCATTCTTAATATGTTTTATTAAGAATGCAGAACTCGTTGTTTTAGGATATGGTTTGGGTCTCATGCGCACTGGGTTTAAGTATGGTTACGAGTGCTAATAGTTCTGTAGCGCACTGGCTGTAAGTCTTCTGAAAATGCCCTCGTAGCCGTGTTAAAAATAGACTTGACGCCATGGTTCCTCCCCTGACAAACTCGCCCATTCCAGCAAAAGCAAAGGCTGCTGCGTGGTCCTGCCATAGTATAAATCTGCTGCTTAGATGTTGAGATTGATCGTTCTTTTAATTTTTTGTAGGACCAATCAAGTTGATAACTATGAACAATCCTTACCCGATGGTGTAGACCCAGGCAAGTTCTATAGTTGTTGTAAGGGTTGAATTACGAATAAAGTTTCCACACAAAAATTTGTAGACAAAGTCTATATCGCCGCCATTTTATTTTGCAGATCCTAGTTTGGATAATCAAATTGGGATTTTAACTACTGGACAATACCTTCTAGTGTATGGCTGTATAATATTATTCATTATTATTATCACTCAACTACGAATAGCCGCCTTCGTGACTATGACTACGCGTATCTCAAAAAATCTTCACAACATAACATTTTCTAACTTAATCAATGCTGCTATGCGATTTTTCGATACCAATCCATCCGGTAAATTATTAAAATAATTACTTGCTTTGTACAATTTGACCCTACCTTGGAGATTAATTTTGTAAATTGATTATTTTTAAGGGCGCATTTTAAACAGATTCTCAAAAGATATGGGTGCAATGGACGAATTACTGCCGCGCAGTGTTTTAGAAGCTCTTCAAATCTATTTATCAGTAATAAGTATTCTTGTGCTGAATGCTATAGCGCTTCCTTGGACTTTAATACCAACGGCAATATTAATGTTTATTTTCGTGTTTTTATCAAAATGGTATATAGCAGCGGCACAAGCTGTGAGAAGACTAGAGGGCACAAGTACGTGTAATATTTTACTTATATATTTTACAACATCGTTTGGTCTGGTGTGACTTAATTATACGTATTTTTTCAGCTAAAAGTCCTGTGTTCAGCATGATTAACTCCACTATTACTGGTCTATCAACAATCAGAAGCTCTAACTCTCAAAATCGTTTACTAACTAAGTTTGATGATGCGCAGGTACACTTTTTTTGCTATTTCAATTTAATTATTATCATATTGCTATTTTAATTAAGTTCCCGCCCTACCTACATATACTTTAAACCATAACTAATAAATATAATAAATAATAAAATATAATAAATTATATGTTTCTTATAAACCTTACGAAATAATATAAATAACCCATGCGAATGGAAGTTCTTGGGAATGAGAAACAAATCCAAAATGAAGTTATCGTCTAGCAGGGATTATTTTCATTATTATTATTGTTTTATGGTGTTTCAGGACGTAAATAGCAGTGCATTTTACACCTTTTTGGGTGGTTCTGCAGCGTTTGGCCTGTATTTAGATTCCATATGCCTCGTTTATCTTGGAAGCATAATAACTATTTTCCTTATATTTGATTTTGGTACGTTTATACTTTATAATTAATTTTATTCATGTATTTGAATAAAACATATGACTACGCACTATGAAAATGTCTCAGTGTCGCGCGAATGTTCATGAACCACACCCGGTCTGAGAAAAACAATTTGTGAGTGACACAAATTATTATCCCGTTTGAGGATCGAACCCACTATACGGTGCGTAATTCATAAAACCACTTAGGTCATTGCGGCATCCTAGCAGTTTGTTCTTAAGTACCTATTAATGTTAAAAATTCTCGGATGTCTAATTTTGTAATCAGTAAGTCATATTCTACTCAGTCATAGATTCATGTCTTAATCTTAGCTCTATATTTCAACTGCAAATTGATATACATTTGAAATTCGTACTCTCTTATTTATATTAAATTATATAATGAGATAACTAACAACAGTAAACAAGGAGAATAAAGAAAACCAGACATATCTCAGAAGATTAGTAAGCGTAAGTGGCAACGGGCCGGCCATATAGCTCGTAAAACCGATAACCGATTGGGGAGAAAGGTTTTCGAGTAGCTGGCATGAGATATTGACTATCGCGGTGTAGAACGTCCCTCCACTAAAGGAGTGACGACCTGCGCAAATATGCGGGAAGTCGATGGATGCAGGTGGCTCTGGATCATGCTTCGCGTCATTCTGTGAGTGAAGTCTATTCTAGCAGTGGACTCGGAGGATGAAATGATGATGATGATGATGATAAAATGAGAAACTTGTCCTATTTCATATTTATTTTATAAATAAAAGAAATCACAATTACTCAAAACAATTATCTAATTTGAATACAGGAAAAATTGTTTGAAAAAGTAATAATATATTTTAGGCAACGTCGTACCTGTTGGAAGCATTGGTTTAGCTATTACCCAAACGATGGCACTCACCATGACATTGCAAATGGCCGCCCGAATCACGGCTGACCTTTTAGGTCAAATGACTTCAGTGGAAAGAGTGCTTGAATATTCCAAATTACCCCAGGAAGAAAATATGGAGACCGGGCGTAAGGAAATAACAGTAAAATGATTTTAAACGCTTAAAAAACGTTGATATTATTGTGTTTCTCAATGCTTTTGGGCCGAGGCTAGTGGGGCCACTAGCCTCGAGACCTCGTACGGCGACAAGGTCATGTTTCTCCAAATTCGAAAATGAAGTTAGTGGATTATCAATCCCTACACAAGATAAGTCTGGCTTGAATTGGCCATCTTGGACTATTAAAATTTGTAGAAAAAGTACTAAAACATTGTCGCCGTTGTGGGAATCGAACCCACGTCTTCGGCATTCGCGGCTTGACGCTTTAGCCACTCAGCTAAACGGCTGATTGCTACACCAACTAAAATCTTAACAGCCTTTATTTACATTTTTTTTAGCATTTGAAGCATTGCTTGGCGAATCTATTGTTAGATATACCCTTCTCAGTATATAAATAATTTTGAATACCGTTTTAAAATGATAATTCGAACGAGAGTACGATATTTTCGTACATTTTCTCCAATTTTATTTTATTTTTTTATGTGAAAAGTTGCCAAACGAGCAGACGTATCACCTGATGTTAAGTGAATACTGCCGCCCATGAACATCTGCTATACCCGAGGGTTTGCAGATGCATTGACAACCTTTGGAAATTGGGCTCCGGCTACCTCACTCACCAGACGAAACGCGAAAGTATTTGTCATACTTCCACTTTACGCTGGTCTTCTGTGAGGTCGTGGTACTTACCCGGGCGGGCCTGCCCATTTGTGCAACAACGAGGCTGCTGCGTGGCCCTACCACCGTTAAATTTTAATGTTTAATCTTAAGTGCAGAGATTAGCACTGGAAAAAAATTAAATCTGCGACTATATTATTAATTTTGCAATTACAAATATATTGATTCAATTTGCTGTAAGTAATATTTTTTTCTTTAATAGCCACTAACCCACCTGAAGATTGGCCGTCGGAAGGATCTATTAAATTTGTTAATGTTTCCATGAAATATGGCCCTGAAGATCCTTATGTTTTGAAAAATTTGTGCTTCACTTTGGAGAGGGGTTGGAAAGTGCGTGATATTCTTGTTTATTTTCCGTCGTTTCTGGATTTTTTTACTTATATTCGAGTTTTATTAGGTGGGAGTGGTGGGGAGAACTGGCGCTGGAAAATCTTCATTGATATCAGCACTATTCCGCTTGGTAAACATTGAAGGTAGTATTATTATAGATGGTCTAGATACAAGTGGCATTGCAAAGGCGGTAAGATTAATTTTTCTTTATTATGTGTGTTCATATGTTTAGCCGTTTTTATTTCATACGCATTTATTGCTTTTTAGAATTTGCGGTCGAAAATATCTATAATTCCCCAAGAACCAGTATTATTTTCTGCATCCCTAAGGTACAATTTGGATCCGTTTAACTATTACAGTGACGATGACATTTGGAGAGCTTTAGAACAGGTTTGTTATGCCTGCCTTTATATTATATTATCTTTGTTTATAAATGCAACGGGTTATTTAAAACAAATTAAAATATTTCTAAAAGTTAAATAATGTTAAACAACTTTAATAAGTCATACATACTATGGATTTTTTATATTGTTTAATACAATGACGTACTTAATGAAAGCAAACCTCGTTTATTTCTAGGTTGAACTTAAAGATGCCATTACCGCGTTAGATTTTAAAGTATCAGAAGGTGGTGCTAATTTCTCGGTGGGACAACGTCAACTAGTGTGCTTAGCAAGAGCAATTCTACGTTCTAACAAGATTCTTATCATGGACGAAGCTACGGCTAACGTTGATCCCCAGTAAGTGCGGCAACGTTTTATTTGTTAAATTTATTATTTCTATATAAACCAATTGGAACTTCCTATAATACTCTATGACCTAATTTCATGTCTTCATATATTTTTTGGGCCTATAGTTCGATAAATAAACATATCTCCATTTTCCACGTTTAACTATAGTGATCGATGTGTTAAAGTTGCTATTCATATTCCAGAACCGACGCTTTAATCCAAAAAACAATTCGACGCCAGTTTGCTACGTGCACTGTGCTCACTATTGCCCACCGTCTCAACACAATCATGGATTCAGATCGAGTTCTAGTCATGGATAAGGGTCAACTCGTTGAATTTGACTATCCTTATCGTCTTTTATTAAATCCAGATAGCAAATTTAGTTCCATGGTCAGGGAGACTGGAGACAAATCGAAGAATTCTTTGTTCGAAGTAGCAAAAGCGAAATATTTTAGCGTTAATCATGATTAGTTATTAAATAATTGTGAAATCTTTTAAACGTCGTATTATTTTATTTTATCTTGGGCAATGTATTGTTAATCGACTTCAAAAAAGGACATATATGTTTTATGTGTATTCGCGGATAACTTCTACGTTTAAGAACCGATTTTCATGATAATTTTTTTGTTGGAATATCCCAAGGGTGGTACCATGATAAGGAAACCCGGATCTGATGATGGCATCCCAGAGAAATCGAGGGCAATCCTCAAATGTTATAGGTGTTAACAATGTTTTTAGTTTGCAGTTTGCAGTCGGTTTTTTTTGTTAAAAATTATAATTTACCTTTAATTTTTAAAGAAATGCGTATTTTTCTTTATATCCATGAGAGTTCATAACACCTAAACCATTACATTAGATTATATAAGCCGTAAATTCTTGCAAAGTAGCGCTGATTCCTACTAATTTTTAAACGGTTTTATTTAGCTCGACCCGTACGGAATTTATTTGTTTTTTTATTTGGGTCAAAATTAGAAATTGAAATTTAAGCACCTTCCCTTTGTCAGATTGATCTGAAATTTGGTACACACATTTAATTTAGATGACAATACAATATTTTAGTTTTCAGTGCACATAAAATAAAACCGTTTAACTTTAAAGTTTTTAAACGGTTTTATTAATCGCAAAGATGATTTGCGAGGCTATTCAAATTAAAAGAAAATCCTAAATTTTCTATATAGATAATGGTAGGGGTTATCATTAGCTTGAGATTCTGTAATTAATATAAATACTAGCTGCACCCCGCGTCTTTGTGTATCATCTTTGTGATTTGAGAGGCTATTGAAATAAAAAAAAATCCTAATTTTCTGTATAGATGATGGTAGGGGTTATCATTAGTTTGAGATTCTGTAATTAATGAAACTACTAGCTGCACCCCGCGGTGTTACCCGCGATTAAAAAGTATGTACTTTTCCTCTATCTCCTTTTCTGTACCCCTTGTATGCAAAATTTGATGATGATCGATTGAGTAGTAAGAGCGTGAAAGAGTTACAAACAGACAAACGAAGAAACAAACAAACTCACTATCGCATTTAAATTTCGTATTTTTCATTGATTGTAAAAAAGGTCAGTTAAAGAAAGAGTTAAGAAGTTAGGATTAGGATACTGTTTTCTAAAAGACATTTAATGACTTATTATTTTCGGACAGTACATGTAAGTTTCGGGCACTAAAAACACGTGAACAACCAACATATATTTAATCGCATGGAGTGCCCAAATGCATGCATGCCAATTTTAAGGTTTGTAAAAGCCAATTTTAAGGGAAATTGCATCCTCTTAAATTAAAACGGCAAGTTATTTGAAATAATGGGTATGTTCCCCACATACTATATACACATATGAAAAAACTCTCCTATAAGAGTTCAAACATTATTACTTTGATTCTAATATTTTAACTATTTCTGAACTTGAGCATTACCAACTATTATAACGACAAGCAGCACTAGTGGTTATATCACCGCCTAGGAACGCAACCGAAAAGGAAGTAACCACTGCTCGAGTAGATAACGTCATATCCTATACACAGTGTTGCCAGCGACAAAACTCCTTTAGCAGCTATTGTAATAATGGTGGCGTTTATAACATTACTGTCCAGCTTTGAGATATAAAGTCTAGTGCCGTTGCACAGTCTGGATGCATCAAGGTTTCGCAACAGCAAAACTGAAAACACCAACTTTAAGCCCTAGCTTATGGGATGGCACGCCCGTTAACTCCAGGGAGTTGAGAAATTCAATTCGGTAGGTAGTAGTGTCGTCATTAGCCATTACAGTGTCTATAGATGTGTAATTTTCTGATCCGAATCCGATTCTAGACAACCGTCTCCAATTTGCAGCAGCTTATTCTTTTTTTTATGTGAAAAGTTGCCAAGCGAGCAGACGGGTTGACGTGATATTAAGTGAATACCATGGACATGTGCTATACCGGAGGGTACCAAATGCTTTGACAACCTTTTGAAAATTGGGCCCCGGCCACAGACGAAACGCGAAAGTATTATACTTTCACTTTACGCCGGTCTTCTGTGAGGTCGTGGTACTTACCCAGACGAGCTTGCCCATTTTTCGCAAAGACATCTGATTCGTAGTCGTTGTAGAGGTGGACGCGCATGTTACACTTAAGATGGAGCTACTCGATCCTGGGTCAAAGTGGCGACGCATTGAGACATGCGTTTATTTCATCCGCCGGTTTGCCCCTCTATAACTGGCATTGTCTGTCTAAAATCGCCTACGAGGAAAACGACAACGCCGCCCATTAGCGCCTGTTTGCCGCGGATGTCCTGCAGGCTGCGATTTAATGCCTCTAATGTTGCACGACATTGTGCACTCATCCCATACAATTAACTTGCTCTGCTGCAAAAGGAATCCGCGGCCGCTTCGCTTGCAAGATTAAGCGAAAATTTGAAAACGGAATGAGCAATCCTCCCACCAAAGTTGCAGCGATGCCCGAAGAAGCCACAGCCAGAGCTATATTTCAGTCCTTGCGGAGTTAGGCCAGCAGAAGATTCAGCACAAATGTCTTACCCGTAGCCCCTGGTGCGTCAAGAAAAAATAATCCTCCCTCTCCTCTATTGACACTGCTTGGGAAGTAATAGTGGTGCCATTTCATTGACCTGGGTTTCTGAAACGACAGTATAGTAATTTAGCCCTTCACAACATCGCTTTACAATTATCCTCTTCGCTGCGGTGTGGGTAGGCCGAAATCAACAAGACGTTTTCCTGATATGAAAATAATTTTATCCTCAATCAATATTAAAGTTTTTTTAATGATTAAGTCATTGTGAGCGCCATTCAGCCTATGAACGATCACTTCTGATAAAGCTTCCTTGTATTTATCCCACAGCTAGATTTATTGGATAGTCCGTAAGTGCTCAGTAAAATTGCGAACAGGTGCCTCATTTATGTTGCTGAGCGACAAAGAACGGCTTCCGCAATTGTCGCATCCTAGTGGTTCATAATCATCACTTCAGCCTGTTTAAGTCCACTGCTGAACAAAGGCCTCCCTCATAGACTGCCACGAATTACAATCCAGGGCCACCTGTATCCATCGACTTCCCGCACATTTCTACAGGTCGTCACTCCATTTAGTAGGGGATCGTCCTCCTTAACATCATGCTTACCTGAAAGTAACTCCTCTACTCGCTCTAGACCATCTACGGTTATAAGAATCTTGAAACTTGATGGGCCCCGAACTTCACTAAGCAACATTCGCAAGCAATAACATTCAAAGCTGCTGACGTGCATAGTATATATCTGACCCTTCCTGCCTTCAACCACCACCCGCCACCTGGCAATTTTTCAACTGGTATTCCCTCTACACGACGCTTGTATTACATGTCGTGGCAATTCAAAGTCAAAATCATTTATTCGAAGTAAGATTTTTTCAAACCGTTTTTCGACGTCGAAAAACTTGTCGTATAATATATGTCTCTCATGCCGTGCTAGAGTATCGGAACACCAAGCCTTTTTGTCATTTAAATAATCATCTATCTTATAATAAGCTTTTTAAACAGTATCTGCTTTACAATGTCTGTGACTTAACCAAAGCATTTGATTGTGTACAGTATGACACTCTGGTCAGGAAACTACACCACTATGGTATAAGAGATGCCGCACTCAATCATCTGACATCGTAATTGAGCTATCGTGTTCAGAGAGTTGACGTGAATGGTAAGAGATCTCCCGGAGCCCTGGTAAGTATGGGGGTTCCACAGGGATCTATTCTGGGGCCTTTTCTCTTCCTCATCTACATAAATGACCTGCCCTATCTTGTTAATAATGATCATGAGATAGTATGTTATATATATGTTTGCTGATGATACTTGTTTAATTTTTAAAGTTAAACGACATTCTTCAAATTATGACGATGTAGTATTGTTAAATACTCTCTCCACTGTAGTGCATTGGTTTAGTGCTAACAACTTAATGTTGAATAGTAAAAAAACGAAATGTATTAAATTTTCCAACTCCCAGCGTAAAAAGTGTAAAAACTGATGTATTTTTACATGGGGAAGCGTTAGACCTAATTGACTCGACTGTATTTCTTGGCATAACTGTAGATGCCAAATTGCAGTGGGGCCCCCATATTAATAAACTGTCGAGTAAACTTACGTCAGCAGTCTTCGCAGTCAAAAAAATTAGACAGTTGACTGATGTGGATACGGCTTGTCTGGTATATTTTAGCTATTTCCACAGTATAATGTCTTATGGCATTCTACTTTGGGGAAATGCAGCCGACATAAATACTATTTTCGGTTTATAACCTGGGCCCCAAAGATTCACTAAGAAACCTGTTTAACGAAATAAAAATATTGACTGTAGCTTCTCAGTACATACTTGCTAATGTTATGTATGTCCACAAAAATAAGAATGACTTTTCAAGATTTAGTAATGTGCATGATGTAAATACTAGGCACAAGCATAAATTAGTTCTACCCTCAACTAGATTGCGTAGAATAAGTAAATCTTTTATGGGACAATTTTACAACAAAATCCCAGAAAACGTTCAAAATGAATGCTTCTATATTGAATAAAGATATTTGACTTTGACTTTGACTTTGACAATAAATTTTTGTGCGGTAAATTTAAATTGTTTTTTTTTTTTTTGTTTATGCGTTAATGTTACCTGATGTTAAGTAAATACCGCCGCCCATGGACATCTGCCACACCCGAGGGTTACAGATGCGTTGACAACCTTTTGAAAATTGGGCTCCGGCTACCTCACTCACCAGACGAAACGCGAAAGTATTTGTCATACTGTCACTTTACGCTGGTCTTCTGTGAGGTCGTGGTACTTACCCGGACGGGCCTGCCCATTCGTGCAACAGCCGAAGCTGCTGCGTGGCCCTACCACCGTAAAAGTAGTGCTAATCTTTGCACTTAAGATTGAACATTAAAATATGTAGAAAATAATAATATAATAATAATAAAATAATAATTTTCTACATATTTTAATGTTCAATCTTAAGTGCAAAGATT